AACGTACAGTCGCAAATTGTGAGCAGCGTTTCTTTATCACCATTTTCCTGACTGTACTGAACAATTTTGAAGCAAAACCAACAATTCCCTGGGATGGAGTTCTTTCAAATACAGGCAAAATTTTTAAATGACAAAAACAAAACAAATGCGCCGGAGAGTTGGAAATGAAAATTCAAAGTAGCCGACTGTTCCACGTTAGGGTTTTGTGGGTTTTATGGGTCAAAGAGCTTTTTATAAGCCTCGTTGAGGACTTTAAAATAAGCTTGCCAATTTCTTTGCCAATTCTATCTTCCCTACCGGACGCGCCACTCCTCAGTGTCCGATTGTTGAGATTTTTGTAGGGACTCTCAAGGGATTGGGCAATATAGTCTACAATTTCGTTTTATCACACGGGCATAACACGATATAAACTTCATGTCCTTTCATAAAGAGTGCACCTATTCGTGTAGGTGGCCTCAAATTTTTTACGCATTGTGCACGATGCTTAATGAAGACATAAGTACTACACCCAAGGTTGGTGTCGATCTAGACATAGAATGTGGAGAAATGTGCACTTCCTTCTTTTTACGAAAATCTACGGATTTCGCCCTACCATGTTTCATCAACGCGCTTCATGTTAAAAGCATAGCTCCAAATACTTTAAATTCCCAGATGCTACGTGAAAAGTTCTGCGTTCGCACACCGGACAGCAGCGCACTAGACTGGGGAACCACAAACCAACCTCTTAGATTTGTGACCTTTTCTGCTTACGGCAAACAAGAACTATAGGCGAACAATAGGGACCTTCCAGTGTTGGTCACTGGCTCGGTCCCTAATAATAAACATTCAAAATACAATAGGGACCTTCCAGTATTTGATACTGGCTCGGTCCCTAACTTTTCAATTATAATAATTATAATTAAATCAATAATTTTACATTATGTAAGGTATTTATATGAAACACAATGGGGGAAAAAAAGGAAAATTCTTGAGTCATTGAGTTATAAGTTATATCCATAAATGTGCTCACATACCAACTATAGCTCAAAACATTGCTAAATTTGGCTAAATAATAAAAGCCAGAAGTGGTACTGAATAAAGAGCAGTCTGGGACCGGAAACACTCTTGTTGCTAAGCTGGGGCAAATGATCTGGCTCACTAAAATGAGCAGGAAATCCCATCACTATATTGTACTGAAAAAAGATGGGGCCATGCTGTCGGACTACATTTCCCAGTAGACTTTACGGTCCACGAGGAGGAGGATAGTCTCGACCTTGGAGTTTGACGTAGAGCAGCATGGCGAGCAAGGAGCCGAATGTAAGTGTTTTAAACGCTAAATCGTTGAAATGAAGGAGTGTTGTTACGGTGTTGTAAGTGTGGGCACTGTAACATGTTTATCTAACGTTACCACTAAAGTAACCAATGGTCCGCTAATGAATGACGCAGCTGTATTAAAAGCTCTGCTTAGTTACCATGTCGCATTATAGAACTGTTCTGCTAGCTCGTGCATCGCTAAACTTCACAACCGGCCGTCGTTATTGGCAAGGACGCCTTGTGTGACCTGACTTGGCTGTTAATGGCTATTAGCTAACTAATATCTACACTGATATGAAGGCCCGGTTCTAGTGCCCACCCAGCAGCCAGGTCTGTGTTATGAATGGGACAGCACTTTGTGAACTCATGTTACCTGGATAGTGGCACCCTTTGCACAGCATCGTGTTAGGCTGATATTTAAGGCTAGTGGTTGCCAACCTTTTTCTTTAAGGGACTCTTTTTCTGCCATTTCGTCAACTGACGATCCTTGACATAATTTTTGATATTATATTCAAAAACGTACAATGAACCTAAACCCAATAACTGCAGGAATGTTGTGTAAAACGAGTGATTTGGATGAATTTTGAGGAGATTATTTCCTGCCTAGGGAACCTCTTTATGCAATTCTGTCTGTATTATGTATTTTAAAATATTTTTAGACTTTTTTTTTGACAGATTCAATGTTTTCTTGTCCCTGATGAATCACCATTGTTTTGTTTGACAATTTACTTAACAGAAGCCATCAAATGCTGAGATATAGGCCTACTGTGTTTATTTTTGGAGGTTTCTTACAGCCCTTAAAATCATGAAGGCCTTGCGTCCCCTAGAATGAACTGGATTGTTTGTTTATTGTTTTCTATTGATTAGCAAAACAGTCCTGTTGGACTAAGTAAACATCGCCATGTCCGGTGGCGGTGTGTTAGTGCAAGGACACTGAACTTCTAAAGTTAGTATCAACTTGAAACCAAGGAGGATCCTTTTAAACAAATTAATTACATAATTACCCATAAATTGTTAAAGAAGAAGAACCATTGCAGGAAAAATTCTGATGCCAAGAAAATCGAAAAAACAGACGCCAACTGCCTCACCTGGGAGAACCGGAATGGAGGCCGACAGTCAGTGTGGAAAGCAGCTTGAGTTAGTAGCATTACTCTGCTCAATAATAAGAGAATAAATAAATAAATAAAGCATTTGATAAAATGCAACCTCCACTGGATTGCTTAAAAGTGTGGCTGAAGGACTTTAAAGACAAACTGGCCCTTTCTAGCAGGCAAGAGAGGGTGAATGAAATGTAGAACACACTCCAAAAAGAAAACAGAGAACTGAGAGAAAAAACTAAAAGGTTGAAAAATTTCAGCCGTAAATGTAATATCAGAGTATTTGGCCTCGACAAAGATGTGGAAAAGGGATGTCCTACAGAATTCATGGCATCGTTCTTTAAAGAGGAAGTCTAAGATAGAAATCTTCCATGCCAGCCTGAAGTGGACATTGCGCACAGAGTGGGCCCTCTAACGAAATCTGGTTCAAGACCGATGATCCACAGAATGCAGATATATTTTACAAATAGCAAAGAAAGACAGAGTACTGCATTTCAGGGGAATGAAAGTACCCCTCAACCAAGCTATTAAACCGACACTGTGAGCAGGTTAAAGAGAGGAGAGGAGATGCCTAACGAGTGAACTGCGAAGGACCCCCAACAGGTCAGGTGGTGAGAAATAAAAATAAAAATATACTGCATGAGGAAAATGGACTGAACAGGACTTTATAGCCTATATTTATAGAAAAATGTAGGATACTTTTTAAAGCTGGCCTTCCTCACCAGCTTGCTCAGCTTGTTGGCACCCCTAGTCCTGATGCCTCCTCCCCAGCAAACACCAGCAAAGGTTGGATAAGGAATTCAAAGAATGTATGATGGAATGGGATCATGCCAAATTAACAGCAATTTCATCTAGTTTTAGATCAGATTGGCAAATATAATGCAAATTAATGAATTTTGTAAATAAATAAACAAGAAGAAAAAGAAATTGTATTTTGATAATAGAATGGGGCGGCTGTGGCGCAGAGGTAGAGCGGGTAAAATATAACTGAGTTCAAGGAAGTTAGTGTTGCTAAAGTTGAATTAATGTTAATGACATCTAAAAATAAACCATCTGCGGTTGACGATCTTAAAGCAAATTTGCCCTATGGTCACGCATATTATTAATCAATGCTTCAGTGAAAATGTATGCCCAAAAGCATGGAAGATTTTCAAATTGGTGCCGATACCAAAAAATAAGTTGCAGTTTTCAGAATCCAATAGTCGACCTATAAGTTTATTACCAATTTTAAGGAAGATAATGGAAAGAATTGTGTATGAGCAGATCCAGTCTTATTTTGCTAATAGTAATTGAATCACTAATTTCCAACATTCATATAGAGAAAAAACATTTGACAGCCACTGCCTTGACTGAAGTAGTTGATGACTGGCTTGTGGAAATAGAAAAGAGAAAAATGTGAGTAGTTTTGCTTGATTTTTCTGCTGTTTTTTATATCCTTGATAAGTTGATGTTGAAAAAACTAAAATGTTATGGTTTTTCTGGATAAAAATCTACTTGAGAGACAGAAGCCAAATAATGTACCTTAATAGAAGTTATTATTTTAAAGAAGTGAAAAATGGAAGTTGTCTTGGGTCACTCCTATTCACAATTTTTACGAATGATCTTCCTTTAGTTTTTTAGCTCAGATCCTGAGGATATTTTTGTTAATTTATGAGAAATTCAATCGGAGCCAGTCTTTTTGATGTTTTTGTTTTGTTTATGTGCATTACAATGTGTTGTGTCAGTGTATTTTGATGAATAATGTCAGTGTGTGTATATTTGTAGTAGTATTGTCACCATATAAACTATTTGGACCCCAAGAAGAATAGTGACTGCTTTACAGAATATACACAAACAAACACATAGTGCTGGCTAATTTGGTTTTATGTGATTATAGTTAAATGGAAAATACCAACTCATTCCATTTTTGTTCATTTTTGTTTTTTGTTTAAAATTCCACTGTAATTGCTGTTTTAACATGCTTTGCATTATAGGGGTTGACCAGTATGTGTTTTTCAGGGCCCGATACAGATGCTGATTATTAGTAATCAAGGAAACCTTCAACCACTATTTGGAACTGATAGTATATGATGATATATTTATATTGCTGTAAAAAAGAAAATCTTGTGGTCAAACTTTTTAATAAAGTTGTGGTAGTACATTTATTTAAGTAGGGTACTTAAATATAATTTTGAGGTACTTGTACTTTAGTTGAGTGTTTCCATTTCCCCCTCTGTGGCACACAAGCCTTGAGTGTTGATAGGCTATAACTCAAGGTTACTTTATTTGTACTTAAAGGTAGATTTGGCTTGCAACAAACGACAAGGCATTTCTCTTGACTAGAATATAAAGGTGCCAGGCTCTCAAAATCAGGACTTATAAAGAGTGATCAATTAAAATACATAAAAACAAGTGAACACTAGAATAAATAAGTAAATGTCAGTAAAAACAATAAAAACTGTGTGCCATGTTAATACAATTTGTTTATCTGAATAATGGGAACAAAGCTATTTTTATAGTGCTTTGTTCTACATCTTGGAACTATAAACCTCAGTCCGCTTAAGGTCATGCTGTGGGCAGGACATTGAGCAAGACTACAGAGTGCTGACTACAGAGAGAGAGGGTGAGGCTGCATCAGAGCCAAAGTAGGGCATTAGAAAATTAATTGAGTTTATCGGCAATCTATCTATAAAGCAAGAAATCTCTGTCTGTGTGTCTGTGTGTGTGTGTGTGTCTGTGTGTGTGTGTGGCTCAAATATCTCTGCAGATCAGGATCAGACTG